GATCATACACACTGACTGCCTGTTGCCCCTAAAGCCCACTAATATAAATATACAGTCATGCATCATTTAATGTCCCTGATACTTTCTGTGACATAGGACATTAAGTGATTCAGATGTTGTGCTAACACCATATTACAGGCATTCCCTGGGTTGCAAACATCTGACTTATGGATAACTCATACTTAAGAACGGACTGCCATAAAGCCTATTATATTAAAAATTTGAGTTATACTATGGTTGGTAATAACAAAAGCATGCGCTACTTTGTGACTCTCATGAAAACACTGCATGGTTTGGAAGTGTTTCTTAAGTGTTTTATATGCACAGAAAGAGAAAATATATACTATATACTAAGACAAACATTTGAATAACTGACGCTAAATAAGAATCGTATGACCTGTTCTGACTTACCTAAATTTGACTTAAAGACACACTTAGGAATGGATCTAGTTCCTAACCTGGGGACTGCCTGTATATACTTAACAAAGCTATATGGGACACTGCAGTGCACCTGTATTGACTAAATAGCCAAGATACAGTACACAGACAGTACTGTATTTCAGCTAATACATCTGGCAAGGTAACACCTGAACTCTATTATAGCCTTATAGGACCATGGATGCATGTGCATTTGGATGTTGACCGAATGATGTTATATAGGGCATGACTGTACGTATATATACATATATATAAAATAAAATACATTTTAATACCATTGCAAAACAGGGAAAATTACTATCAGAAGAAATATATTTTTAATAAATTCTAAAATATATTACCAGAGATGATCAAATTTTTGGAAGAACAGAACTAAAAGAAACAACAATATAAAGTGTAGGGGTGACCATTGTGGAGGTGGGTCTGCTGGAACTACAAGCCTATACTTAACAGATATGAAGAGGTGGAAGGGACCCTGGGACATTTATCAATTTGATTAATTAAGAAAAAATGTGTGGAGAAGCAAATCAGTCATCCTGTGATAATTAAAGTTGCGAATCAACATGGCTGGGCCATGATTCTCGGTAGTTATGATGTAGTTTGGTAGCTATGTAATGATATAATCACCTCCATAATGAGATGATATAATATAATCATCTCCATGATGAGATCTGTTATGAGTAGCCAATCAGTTGAAACAGAGTTTTCTTGGGGGTGTGGCCTGCATCCAATATAGGTGAACTTCCTGGCAAAGCTCGCTAACTCCTGTTCGTCAGACCCCGGTTCTTGGGACCTGAGCTAGCAGCTTACCTGCTGATCTTGGGATTCATCAGCCTCCTCAGCCTGTGAGCCACAGGCTCGCTGTCTGACCTGCCAATCTTGGGTTCGCCAGCCCCTGCAGCTGCGTGAGTCAGAAGAAGCCTCCAACCTGACGCAAAGACTTGGGACTTTCCAGCCTCTACAACCGTGTGAGCCATTTCCTTTATATAAATCCCTACATATATTTATATGCTTCACTGGTTTTACTTCTCTAGTGAACCCAGCCTAAGACACACCCCCTCCTTGTTCTTCTGCTGTGCTAAGCAGTGGCAGCTGTAGTATGAACTGAATCATTCCCTGGGGTGGAAGAAGCAGGACAGTACCTAAGTAGCTACTGACCCCAGGAGGATCAAAGAGCCCATAAAAAATTAGACAAACCATCCTCACATCCTATCTGGCTACACATCCCAACTATGCCCCATAATCTCGAAAGTTAGGCAACAGTAAACAGAAACAGCTTATATGATTGGGATCTAAAAAGCCTCCCTTCACATACACACACACACACACACACACACACAAACACACACTGAAGCTTACATTCTTATTGTTCCAATCATACAGTACATCTATACTACGGAGAGGAGCCCTGGTGGCGCAGTGGTTAAGAGCTCTGCTGCTAACCAAAAGGTTGGCAGTTCAAATCCACAAGCTGCTCCTTGGAAATCCTATGGGGCAGCTCTACTCTGTCTTGTAGGGTCACTATGAGTCAGAATCGACTCAACAGCAACTGGTTTGGTTTGATTTTTGGGTTATACTAGGGAGAAGGCAGTGGTGGTTCAGTGGCAGAATCTCACCTTCCATGCAGCAGACTCAGGTTCAATTCTTGACCAGTGCACCTCAAGTGCAGCCACCACCCATCCGTAGTGGAGACTTGCATGTTGCTATGACGTTGAACAGGTTTCAGTGGTGCTTCCAGACTAAGACAGACTAGGAAGAAAGGCCTGGTTATCTACTTCCAAAAATAAGCCAATGAAAACTCTATGGATCACATCAGTCTGATCCCATTGAGCACACGGTTGCCCTGAGTTCGGGGCTGACAACACGTAGCTAACAACAACATACTCTAGAAGACTATGCAGCTATTAAAATAATGAGGTAGTCTACATGTGTTGACAAGTAAAGATCTCCAAGATATCTATGATACACAAATATCTAGGTAACTGTAATGGGAGGTTCTCTATTAGCCTCAGTCTGCCTGCCATCTTTTAAGAACTGGAAGTCCTCAATACACAACTATGTAATAATGGCATTCTCATTCTTTTATATTCTACTTTTTGTCAGTGGGAGAGAAAGGGATGGAGAGATAGCTGTGGTCTTATCAACACTGCAGATAATAGAGAGCAACAGATATATTCTCGGAAGTTTCTTGGGCATGTAAATACTCTTATTCAGCAGAGGAATACTCCACTTCTACTAGTGTGCAATATAACATAGCTCATAGTAGATACATTGTGGCACACCAAATGTGCCAAATAGAATAGCTGGTGGAATTAATCCATACTAAACTCATCCAAAAAGCAAAGGCTGAGTTAGTGCTAGAAATTATCTAAATATAAAACTATACACACACACACACACACATACAAGTATATATACACATATTTTTTAACTTAATTCAAAGATATATGGGTACCTAGAATATCAGAATATATGTGTATGTGTGTGTATTTATTTATTTATAGTCCTGGAAGAAATGTTTTCAGTTATTCACACTCTTTTTTATTAGATATTGTTGTTGTTAGCTGCTGTCAAGTTGATTGCGACTCATGGAGACTCCATGTGTGCAAAGTAGCACAACTCCATAGGGTTTTCAAGGCTGTGACCTTTCAGAAGCAGATCACCAGGCCTGTCTTCCAAGGCGCCTCTGGGTGGGTTTGAATTGCCAGGCTTTCAGCTAGTAGTTGAGTGCTTAATCATTTGCGCCACCGAGGAGCTCCTTTAATTAGATATAAAACAAAATCAAACTCGTTGTTGAGTTGATTCTGACTCATAGTGACCCTAGAGAACAGAGTAGAACTGCCCCATACGGTTTCCAAGGAGAGGCTGGTGGATTGGAACTGCTGACCTTGTGGTTGGTTAGTAGCTGAGCTCTTAACCACTGTGCCACCAGCACTCCTAATTAGATATAGAGGGGTTCAAAGTTTTAGAATAAGGAGGAAAATTTAAGTTCATAGGAGAACGTTATCCTTAAATTGAAATTTTAATTCCAGTGGTAGTGGTGATGTGATTACACTGATCACTTATTGAGCAATCATAACATGGTCAGAATTACACCAAGTGCTCTAGATGCATAATCTCATATTCAACAACCTTATGAAGCTGCTATTATCCTAATTTTACAGATGAGGAAATTAAAGTCTAGAGAGGTTAAGCAATTTACCCAAGGTCACACAGCTTATATGTAGTGGAGTCAAAACTCAAAACTCCAGTTCGTTTGATTTCAGACTTTGTAATATGGCCTCTCCTCTAAAAGCTTTATGATACTTATTAATTACATTCATTATTCTGCAGAAGCAAGCTGCTTTGTTTATAAAGAATATGACACAGAAATAATCCCTCATAATCCAGCACTCATGGGAGACCAGTGTTAATATTTTGGTGTCTTTTACTTGTCTTTTTTTCCTTCTCCCCTGTTTACGTAAATGGTATGTTCTGAGATTACTGATAAAAAAGGCAAATGCAATGGCCTGTGTGGCTCCAGATTCTGAGATATCTCTACGTTCCAAGGACTGTGTTTTTATCTGAAGAAGGTGATTTATCCTGATTTTTTACTGGTGGGTTTAAAGGCTCCTGCCCATTGAGAGGGAGATCCTCTGCAGTTTTTTGAAAGATGCCCGAGCCCCCCTTTCTCTCTGGACTTCTGGGGCATGCCTGAGCTGCCTCTCTGGTGTCTGTTCCTGATAAGTGAGCTTTAGTCTCTAAGGGCTCTTGGGAATTTTGTCGGCAGAGACCCAGTGAGATCATCCTGCTTTCCGCTGAGTTTCCTTTCGCTGTTTTTCTGGACTGTTCTGATGAGCATGACCCAGGAGCTTTCAGTAATACCCCTGTTCCCTTAGGAACTATGGGCCTACTCCCCGGTTTTATCTCCATCTGCACAAACGCTCCATGTCGCTGGAAAGGAAAACAAAGTTGATGTTAACCAGGGGAACGCACACTGTTGGAAGAGGCAGCTGTGAGCTGAGGTCATGTATTAGCTCAAGTTCTGGCGAGGCAGGCACTTAGATCTCTGCCACTTCACTGGCTGTCTTGTCACCTTAGCCCAAAGCTAGACAGCCACATGGTCACTTATCTGGTGAGCCTTTCAGACAAATTACAAAATAGGCTGCAACAGGAAAGGAGTTGGAGGAAAAAGCAGAAAGTCAAAGAAAAAGCATCTCATCTCCTGTCCTCAACTTTTCTATCACTTGGTTGTGCAAGACTGCTCCTATCAAATTTCATTCCTTGCTGCACAGGTTGCTATGGATACAGGAGAAACTAGAGTTTACAGACCTAGGATGTATGACTGCATCCCAAATGTCTATTAGTTCCCACAAAAGACTAAGTTATAATGAAATGATGAAAACAAACATCTGTAGTTGGAAAAAATCCAGTGACTGACTGTCAACATTTCTATTTGGTTTTATAAGCCTTCTATGTATCCTCCCCACACACACACATTAGGCATATTAGAAAGTTTGTCAAACTGCTTTGACATTACCTTAAGTGAATGATTTCAACAATTTAAGTAAACCAAATACCAAAGACTGTGATTCAAAATTATGACATCATTCCTTAGTTTTCACTATGGCATATGGCTGAGATTCTATCTTACTAATAACCATGCTGGTTTTTTAAACCAGACTTTTAGGAAGATGAATATAACTTGAAAAGGCTTAATGTTCAACAATAAATCTATCTAGTCCTAAAATACTAAATAATTAATTCTAAATACTGTCTCACCTTGCCCCGGAGGGGCTCGCTGGGAGTTTTCCTGGCATCATATTGATGTATAAAAGAGATGCGTTCTATAAAATTGCTTTGAAGTTCTGCTGATGCATCAGGAGAGGCAAGTGGAACTTTAAAAAAAAAAAAAAGATTTTGTGAAGTCAGGATGAAAATTAGGTTTGTATATGGAAATATGGAAACCCTGGTGGCATATGGTTAAAAGCTACGGCTGCTAACCAAAATGTCAGCAGTTCGAATCCGCCAGGTGCTCCTTGGAAACCATATGGGGCAGTACTACTCTGTCCTATAAGGTCGCTATGAGTTGGAATTGACTTGATGGCAGTGGGTTGGTTTTTGTTTTTTTATATGGAAATACAATCATATTCATGATAGTCATGTTTTATTAAAAATAATTATTTAGTGTTGCTATAACAGAAATACCAAAAGTGGATGGCTTTAACAAAGAGAAATTTATTTTCTTATCGTCTAGTAGGCTAGAAGTCCAAATTCACGGCGTCAGCTCCAGGGGAAGGCTTTCTCTCTGCGTCGGCTCTGGAGGAAGGTCCTTGTCATCAGTCTTCCCTTGGTCTGGGAGCATCTCAGCGCAGGAACATCAGGTCCAAAGGACACACTCGGCTCCAGGCGCTGCTTTCTTGGTGGTATGAGGTCCCGCCTCTCTGCTGGCCTCCCTTTCATCTCTTGTAAGATGAAAGGTGGTGCAGGCCACACTCCAGGGAAACTCACTTTACATTGGATCAGGGATGTGACCTTAGTAAGGGTGTTACAATCCCACCCTAATCCTCTTTAACGTAAAATTACCAGTCACAAAATGGAAGACAACCACACAATACTGTGAATCAGGCTTAACCAAGTTGACACATATTTTGGAGGACACAATTCAATCCATGACACTAATGAAACTAAATTCTTTAAGCATGTAAGTTTACTTACATACATGTAAACATTAACTACAAATGGATTCACTATTCTTTCTCTATGAGAAGAACCAAATCAAAATGACCAAATTAGTCCCACATGTGGAAATACCAGTAATTTTAAAAACTAATATTAATTCAATAATGGCTTTAAAGATCTACTGCTTAGATATGTCTTTTTTACACAGACAGCAACCAAAGTTTTAGGAAAGGCAAACATACCACTTATTATTTGACAATTTATTCTAGTAGCGAAGCTAAAACCAAACCCACTGCCGGCGAGTCGATCCCAACTCACAACGACCCTATAGGACAGAGTAGAACTGCCCCATAGAGATTCCAAGGAGAGGCTGATGGATTCCAACTGCTGACCTTTTGGTTAGCAGTCGAACGCTTAACCACTGCACCACCAGGGCTCCAATATAAACAGACCTAAAATAAATCTTCCTGGGACAGTTTTATTTACTTAAATTTTATTTACTTAATCATCTCTATATTTTTAATCTCAAACCTTCCTGGGAAAATTTGGGATTAAATATAGAGATGATAATGTAAATAAAGTCAAAGCTATAATTTGTTATTTAATATATATCAGAAGCAAACCTGATATAATAGTTTGCTAGTGTTGAGCTGATAATTTTAGGAAAATATGATTAAGTGTACAAACAGTTTAGAATGTTTAAGATAACTGGATTTAGTATATTTATAAATTTAATTTGTTAGATTTAAAAAAATTGCTTAAGTGTTTGGGAAGATTTGATTGCTAAAGTTTGAAGTTTTGCTTGTCAAGAATTTGAAGTGCTTAACAGGAAAACAGAATATAATTGAATCAATGAAGTTGCAGTTTAAAATGTTCATAGAATTTAACTGACTTTGCTTGTAAATGAGCCATTGTTAAAACGTATTTCATCTGTTCAACTTGCAGTAATTAACGTCAACTTATAAGTGAAAGTCACTATTATTATTTTATATAATATGCAAAAATTAAAGGCTTAAGGAAAGAAACTTTTTAATTTATAAAGTTAAAACTGGGATATTAATTTAAATCATAAGTAATTTAAATCATTATATATAAAGGCCCCCTATGAACATTAAAAATCTTTTCTTGAAACAGATTACTCTCAAAGACTTAACAACCAGACTATCTGCAGATTTGACAAAACAGTAGAATTCAGAGGACAATGGAATAGTATCTTCAAAATGTAAATAACTGTGAAAGCAGCATTCTATACACAACTACACTCTCATTCATTCAAGAGTGGGGGCAATTTAAAGACATTTTCAGACAAAGAAAAGCAGAGAGTTGGCCACTCCTAAACTTTCACTGTAAGAATTATTTAAGGGCATTGTGGTAGTCTGTTACATTGTTGGCCCCGATGAATCAAGTCTACCAACTATTCACATCCTTGCTGTCTTAGGTTGGGTTCTCAAGAGGAGCAAAACCAGTGAAGCATACATACACACACCCACACCCACACACACACACCCCACAGACACATTCACACAGAGACAGACAGGGAGAGACATTTATTTCAAGGAAATGGCTCACACAGTTGTGGAAGCTGGCAAGTCCCACATCTGTGAGTCAGGCATCAGGCTGGAGGCTTTTCCTGGCTCACGTGGTTGCAGGGGCTGACGAACCCAAAACTGGCAGGTCAGACAGAAGGCTGCCGGCTCTTGGGGCTGTGGAAGATGGCAAATCCCCAAATCTGCAGGTCAGGTGTCAGGCTGCTGGCTCATGTCCCAAGAACCAGATATCAGAGGGTGATGAGTTGGATGCAGGATTGAGGGGGCATGAGTTTTGTCATAACATCCATATATACTGGATGCAGGCCACACCCCCAAGGAAACTCCCCTTTCAACTGATTGGCTGCTCACATCAGATCACAAAATGGAGGATGATTACATAACATCTGCCAAACCACTGAGAATCATGGCCTAGCCAAGTTGACACATAACCTTAACCATCACAGTCCACCCCTTGTCAACTTGGCACCTGTATGCATCTCTTAAAACCATACATAATCTCTAAATAAAGACAATTATAAAGTCATACTCATGCCTAACATGATACAACTAACGTGTACAACCAAAAACGCACTAGCGTCGTTTACATCTTATACTTTATAATAAGGAATGGAATAAAGGAGGGAAGGAAACAAAGATATTTGATACACACACACACACACACACGTATAATAAAACAAGTAAAAAATATAATAATTACAGTCCTCGTTTCTGAAACTGGTCATGTGGTGATACTAGTATTTAGAACTAACTCTTCTACACCCATTCTGTATTCCCTTTGCCCTCAGCAAGCACTTCAGCTGTTTGTGGTTCTTTGCCCCATGGGGTGACCCAAACCTTCATTCCTGAAGGGTCTGGACAATTAGTAGTCATGTCAGAATTGGGCTGCTGTAGTTTTCTATTGACTTTAATCACAGGGCATGGTAGTACTAAGAGATGCCCTAAGGGATCTCCTGTATTCCAGACATACTCTTCTTTACCTCCATTATTTAATATCCATCTGACTTCCCTTGGTAATCAGGACCAATCATACCAGCCAATATGGTAACTTCCTTCTTTGCCTGTTGATCCAGAGGCATGAGAAGCCTGAAGTGGCCAGGTGGCATTGTTAACTTCCAGTTCAATGGAATCAGTGTTGGGTCTCCTGGTGGGAGAATTCCTCCCTTTGGAATTAAGACTTCTAGACCCGCAGAGCATAGGGCTGCAGAACAGGAAGCAAAAATTTTGCACGTGGGTCACCAGGGTTAATAGTGAGTGGTGTCACTTCCATTTCCACCCCTTGATTCCTGAACCAATGAATCCTGGCTATGGGAGAAACAGCACCATATATTGGACGCTGGTTTAGAGCATACACAGCCTCCTGGAGAACACTGCCCCAAGCCTGCAAGGTATTGCCACTTACCTGGCACTGTAACTATGTCTTTAGAAGGCCATTCCATTGTTCTATGAAGCCAGCTTCTTCAGAATGATGGGGAACATGGTAAGACCAGTAAATTCCATGAGCATGGGCCCATTACTGCACTTCATTTGCTATGCAGTGAGCCCCCTGTTCCAAGGCAATGTAGTGTGGGATACTATGATGGTGGACAAGGCATTCTGTAAGTCTGCAGATGGTAGTTTTGGCAGATGCACTGCATACAGGGAAGGTAAATCCGTACCCAGAGAAAGTGCCTATCCCAGTAAAAACAAAATGCTGCCCTTACCAAGATGGAAGTGGTCCAAGGTAATCAACCTGCCACCAGGTTGCTGGCCAATTGCAACCAGCAATGATGCCATTTAGGGACTCAGGGTTGGTCTCTGCTGCTAGCAGACTGGGCAGTCAGCAGCAGCTGTAGCTAAGTCAGCCTTGTTGAGTGGAAGTCCATGTTGCTGAGCCGATGCATAACCTCCATCCCTGCCACCATGGCCACTTTGTTCATGAGCCCATTGAGCTATGACAGGAGTGGCTAGGGAAAGAGGCTGACTGGTACTGACAGAATGTGTCATCCTATCCACTTGATTATTAAAATCCTCCTCTGATGAGGTCACCCTTCGGTGAGCATTCATGTGAGACACAAATATCTTCACTTCTTTGGCTCATTCAGTGAGATCTATCCACATACCTCTTGCCGATACCCCCATGTCACCAATTTTCCAATCATGTTCCAAGTCTCTACCATGACCATGAATATAGCCCATGAATCAGTATACAATTGCACATCTGGCCATCTCTTCTTCCAAGTAAAATAAACAACCAGGTGCACTGCTGCTTGAAGTTCTGCCCACTGGGAAGATTTCCTTTCACCACTGTCCTTCAGGAAGCTCCCAGAAAGGGGCTGCAGTGCTGCCACTGTCCACTACTGAGTGGTGATATTTTTTGTATTTCTACTGTCACCTCATGCCAAGATCAGCAGTGCCCTCTTTACTACTGGAGGCAGAGTCATCAGTGCCTTTAAGAATAGCCAGACTTGAGAATCAATTTAGAAAACTCATCCTTATGATTTTGTTCCTCGAGAACCATTCTTGGTACCAAGTGTCTTAGGCCAGGTTCTCTAGAGGAGCAAAAACAGTAAAGGGTATATATTATCAATATATAGAGAGATTTATTTCAAGGAAATGGCTCACACAGCTGTGGAGGCTGGCAAGTCCCAAATCCATGGGATAGGCATTAGGCTGGAGGCTTCTCCTGA